CAAATACTGTGACTTCTTAAAAAACTATTAGGGAGTGAAGTTGGGAAAAATAGCAGCCAGGCAGAAATGCTTCTCACCCCATTTCCCTCATACATTCATTCATTAACTCACAACTTTACTCACAAGCATCCAAGCCGGCAACATCCAGAGGCAGCCTCACCCCACCCAGGCTCTTAGCTTACAAAAGCAAATGCTAAGACAGAGTGGGCAGGTGTGTAGGAGGAAAAATGATAAGCAAATGGCATACAGACAGGGAAATGGAGGTGATGTCTGGAGATTGGCAGCTATTACAAGCAGGCAAGAGGACTAATATTCAACTGCCAGGATCACAAGTTATGTTGAGCAGCATATCCTGGTGGGCGTCCTGCCTGGAGCTTGGAACTTTGCCAGGAGCTCAGTAGCAACTAGAAGAACAGCAACACACTGAAGCAGCACCTCATCCTAACTAGAGTAAGAACATTTGGAAGGAGGTGAAGGTTGTATGCCACTTTACAGACTTGGGGACTTTTGCTTGAACCAAGTATTAAAGGACTGGGTATTAAAGACTCAGTTTAAAAACCGATTTCATGGCAACATCACCTTGCAAGTCCTAGAAGGGTGGAGAGCAATAGTCTGTTGTTGGGGAAGGTGTGTGCAGTAATAAAGCATTTTGTACAGATTGGCTACTCTGTGGTATGTCCAGTCCTTGGAAAGTAAAGAGCCCTCACAAAGACCCTCACATTTCTCAGTTTCCAGGATCACATAGTTGCAGCAGAAGCTTCCCAGCAGCAGCCATAGGATCTCCCCAAAAGATGCAGCTGCTTTAATGAGTCATAGACAAATGGTGTATTCATACTCCTATATTATCTGGAGCAGTCCTGCAAATCACATCTGAAACCTTACAAATCTCTAGTAGAAATGGAACATAGCTATTAAACTGATTCATCCTGTGATCTGTAACTCCCCTACGTCACTGTAGGAGATTGATAATAAATAGATGAAGGGGGGGGGGAATACTTTTTTTCTGAAAAGAGTCTTTATATCTGTGTTTCAAGGCTTTCTTCCTTGTTAATGTATGGCACAATTATCTGAATTAGTAAAAAAAAATAAACATAAAAACATAAATGCTAAGTTTAAAAACTGATTTCTGGAAAATTGACTTTGGCAGCAAACTCTCTGCTTAGCTCTGCTGAATAGTTGTACAAGACCTTAAAATAGCTGAAATACTTTGTCCCCCATTTTAAACTGGATTAAATTAATCCAAATAGGAATAGGATCCACAATTTAATTGTGGAGAATAAATCAGATAAGTCATCATTTACTGGCTTGAATATTACGGCTATCTGTGTTTTAATCAAGCTACAGTTGTTTTTCTTGGAATGCTATTTCCCAGGCAGACAAGCATAAAACTGATTTCATCCTTAGATGAAAACTCTTTGGGTACCTCACAGTTCTATAACTGTATTGAACAAAGCTGCCTGGCAATTCATCTTATTACAGAGTTGTATAGAAAGTACTGTTAGCATATTTTACAGCATAAATGTGGAATGGAAAACAAATATTTTCATACAGATATGGCCATTTCATAGAATTCCTGCTGAGAAATTTGTTTGTTTTAAGGTGTATTTAAAAAACAAATGTGCTACTTTCTTTATTCCATTTTTAGAAAGCACTCTGCTGACTCAGAGATCCAGCCTCAGAAGATTTTTACCAATTTCCCCTTTCCTCTCATTGTTTCTGATGGTCTCCTAATTTTTTGTTTCGGATATGAGGGAGGTATATTTGGGGAAAATTGTCTCTCTTCTCCCAATAAGAGTAGCTAATTACTGTAGTACCACTCTTTGGAAGTCTGGATTTTATCCATTGTATTTAATATACTTTCAGTTGATGTTTGTTGACTCTGTTTTTTAATAAATTTTCAACTTGGACAGATTGACCAGTGGATAGATTCTGTGACTAGCACCTTCATTTAAATGGTTCCATAGCATAGCATAACATTTATGGAGGAGCTTATTGGTGGCCCTTTGCTGATACTAATATGGATTGCTTTTCTTTATCCACTTATGAAACAATAATACAAAGCATCTTCATCTGACACTCCATGTAAGAATTAGTTGTAATGAAGATACATTATATAGCTTGCTGGAGAAGTTACAACTTCACTATATCCTGCATTAATCAGGCCCCACCTCAAGTAGAGTATCCAGTTCTGTGCACCACACTTATGAAAGATTAAAAAAAAAAAACAGGAGCAAACAATAACAATGATGATAATCAGAAGACTGGAAACTAACCCATATGAGAAGAGACTGAACAAACTGGGTAAGCTTGCCCTTGAGAAAAGACAACTGAGGGATTGATGACATTCATCAAATATCTGAATAGATGTCACATAGAAGAAGTCCAAGAGCTGTTCTCTGTCATCTTAGAATGTGTGATACGTAATAACAGTCTTAAGTTACAAGACAACAAACTTCATTTGAATGTTAGGGAAAAGTATTTTGCTGTGAGAGCAGTTTGACCATGGAATGTATTACTGAGGAAGGTAAGCTCCCTTTGCTAGATACATTCAAATTGAGATTGAATAACTACAGTTTCCACTAAGAATATTTGTATTTGGTTTCATGCACTTAGTGGGATTTGACTTGATTGGCCATTTCCAATTCTTTGGTTCTGTTTATGCTGTGCAGTGTAGATCCTTAAGGAATTTATCACATGTGCCTAAAGAGCTTTGTGTGATGATAATTTTTGTTCTTCTCTGCATGTAATTTCATATCAATAAAAGGAATGCTTTTATCTATATATAGGCACTACAAAAGTGAATTTGGTGAAAATCCCATCAACTGTTTCCAGTCCACGAGACACTGCTCTCGCTGCTGTGATATGCAGCGCACTGGCAACTGTACTTTCAGCTCTTTTCATCCTATGTGTTATCTATTGCAAAAGACAGTTCATGGAAAAGAAGCCAAACTGTAAGTTTCTCTCCCTGCCCGCCCCCACCCCCGCCCCCACATTATATTTGTTACTAATATTCTTACCCATGTTTTTATGTTGAGTTTTATCACCTAGTAAACTTCTGTGCAAAGAAAAAGAATTATTTGAATTTAACTAACTGTAACTTAACTGTAACCTGGAGTTGATTCACTGTTTTCCAATGTAATTTTCACCAATTACATCAAAGAAGAGAAATATGTTTATGTAAATAAGTTGAATATATATATACCTGCATGTGTCTTGGTTTTACCTGACATATGGTGAACCATTTAGAAGATCATACAAAAATGCAACAAAAAATTAATATCCAAAATTCATGTTATGGTGTGAAAACTGTAAGAGTCAGAGTAAAAGTAGCAGTTAGCCAAAGCTACTTTTCAAGCACAATTACTCAGTTATGCTTACATTTTTTAATTAGGAAATCATGGAAAAAGAAAACGTATGTTATTCAAAGTTACAGATTACTCTAAACTTTTAACAACAATTCAGGATCTTGTTGGAACATCAGATTTCTTCTGCCAAATATTCTAATTATTTTTCTTAATAATTAGGGTCAAGGATCTAGATCAAACTGAAATAGGCATAAAGCAAGAAGATCTAAAGGAAACAATTTAATTCATATTATGCCAAAACCTTTATAACAGGTGCTCTAAGTTAAATAAAAGTCAAATGTTATCAGATATGATTAGAGGATAATTTAAACATAAATAAGGTGGGTTAACAACATCCAGTGTCAATATCTTCTCTGTTCTGAAGGGTCTGTACAATCACAGGATATTCACTATGATGGATCAGAACTTGCATGTTTTGACAGATCACAACTTAATATGTATGAACATAGAACATGCTGCCAGGGCCAGCGGGACTCATTACAGATGCGTGGTAAGTATGGCCTCCAGGTACTTGCTGGGAGCTGGGTTAGTCTAAGTAGGAGGAACACAGTGAAGCTGAAATTTGAATTAGGCATACAAAAATAACTATGGATAAATTGCTGTTTAGTATACAAGATGTTAGACTAGCATAAATCCCATTAAACAGTAGGGCTAAAGTAATAGAACTACTAGCATTTAATGACATAAAGCAAATCAAAATTAGAAATATAAATATACTAAATTCATGTATGACTAAAACTTCATGTAAAGGACAGATGTCGTATGAAGAATTTATACTTTGTACAAGAGCAGATATCAGCCCTATGATGTGACATTCTCACACATATGATTGGTTGTGTGGAACACATTCCCATATGATCATCCCTCACCCGCCAAAGTGGATGGATAATGGTTTGTATGACTAGGCATTAAGTTCTGCTGGGGCCTAAACAACCCCTTTTGTTTTTCATAGTTTCTTGCATAACTAACAGGCAAGAGCCAGAGGCCAACAGCTGTTCTTCACTATGTGTCAACTGTATACCCTGGGACTTGTGTGAACGAGCTCATGGCTAGTCTCAACAAGTATAAATTATTTGCAGTTCTAGAAAACAATATGCACTTTGTTTCTTATTTAAGGATTTCTTTTTTCAAGGTCCAGTGCATTTGATTCCATCATTGTGCTGTGACGAGACCTGTAGCTTTGAACATAGCTGTCATAGCTGTCCTTTTCACTCTCAGACTACACTTCATGAAAGGTACTTCAGATTTTTAACTTCTGTCTTTTGCCAACTTTTCTACTGAATATTAATGTTAGTGCTTATTACAGGATACACTGGAGTGTATTCTACAGAGTTTTTCAGTCAGGGGAACAGACATCTCTGACAAATTGAATCCCTAATTTGGAAGCGAAAAGGAAATGTGCAAGATGCAAGCAAAAGCCAATTCAAGTAAATTATTCCAGCAGAATAATTGATGACTTTGAGCTGTTGGACAGATGTTTTCTGCCAGTCTCTAAAAAGTTAATTTTTATGACCAAATCATATAACTTTTTCATTCACAAGATAATCTGAATGATTTTGACCAGTTTTCATTGACAGAATTATAACAATGTAGGATAAAGAATTATACATACACCTACCTCAACACATACAAAATCTATTCATTTTCCATTTTGAAAAGCTTGAGGGGATTCCTTGATGCTGTATGCATGCAGGACTAGATGTACTGTTTTTAAAAGGCAACCTTATTGATAATTGAGTTTATATGGATATTTCCAGATTTTGCATGCTCAAAAATATGAGTAGTTTATTCATAGGAATGATGCAGATACATTATCTTAAGGTAGGATTTATCTTGCATCTTTGTATTCTGTTAAAAGATACAAAGGTATAATATGCCTGCTCTTTGTGTCTTTTCTCTCACTATATTCTACTCTGTTTTAGGGTAAGAAACTGTTATTTTTAAAATGTGCATTTCTGTTGTGCTTTTGTTAATACTGAAAAGCATAATTTTGTTGTATTTCCTGCATTTTGATCTTCTTCCCCTTCCCCCACCACCTGCAATAATTATAATGAGAGTGTGATGTAAAATGATATTTTTAAATTATTTATTATATTTTTATACCATCTTTATGCCCCCAAAGGCAGAAATATGACACAAATCATACTTTGCATTTACTGATATGCAATCAGGGCATTAGGATCACAAGTTCTTTATATATTTAATGAATCTTTGTTAAATAACTCTTATTTCTCAACTTTTTACAGGAATTCAAATTCTGTTGGAGAAATGATTCCAGCATTTCTTGGTTCTCTTTCACATTCTACTTGTGGAGATCTTTCAGATGCTTGGCCTCTCATCCAAAAACCAGGATGTTGTGATAGTATTTCTTTCTGTGAATCATATCCTGAACTAGCGGGAGAAGATGAAAAACTTTTCACCCTACAGATTGAAAAAAGCACTGTGGATTCAGATAACAAACAGGATTTAAATGTAGTCACATCTACAAAGTCTCATTCTGGTAGCTTGACAGAATCACCTGAACTTTCCAGTAACGCATATTGTATCACTGCTCCCTTAAATCAGGTTTTGGCTGCTGAACCACTCTCAGCAACAGAGTATGACGGAACAAACTGATAAACAGGCAAGCACAGTTATGTAGTAGATAGTTTAAATGAAACAGTTAAACAATATTGTCTGGAATAATTATTTTCTTGTTCAATTAAATGAACTTCGCAAAGATCCTCTCCTTAATCAATTATAAAGGGAAAAAACCAGAAAAAGTGTGATTTTTAAAACTATTTTTTCTTGGTTTGTATTTTGTATTATTTATTTATTGCATTTATATCTTACCACAAATGACTCTCAGCAATTAACATGATATAGAAAAAGCAGTTTAAAGCATCCATGGTAGAATAAAATCAAAGCAATATAACAATACAATATCAAGTCAAGAATAAAGCAACTCAAAAAATACAACAGAGATGGCCTGAACTAATTGAAATGCTCTCTGGAACAGTTCTATTTTCAGAATCTTTCTGAATGCAGTCAGGGAAAAGGCCAGGCTGATTTTCATGGGGATGGAGCTCCTCCTGGTCCGAGTTCCTCTACTGCCCAAAAGTGGGCCACTAAGAACTGCATCTTATTCCTCCAAAAAATGTGGAGTGGAGCATGCAGGAATGAGTTAGGAATAGGAGGACAAACAGAGAAGAAAAAGAAGGAGAAGAAGACTAAATGACAGTTGTTCATAGTGTTTCTATTGGCTGCAGAAATGTTTGCCTTTCTCTGTGTTTAGAGCTGTTCCAAATTTGTCATTGGGTTTTGGATGAGTCAAATGGGGTTTAGGATTCTTCAGTACCTGAGCCTCTCCTGTTGTAGTTTCCACTTTGGGGGTTTTCTGAGATGGATATTTACCAACTTTGGAGGCTAGCAGGGAGGTGAGAAAAAAGGATCCTATATTTGATTCCTTCCTCCAAGATTCGAGATGGGAACTCAGGAGTTCTTGTCATCTTTCAGTAACTAGTGGGATCAACTGAAAATGGAACTGTAACAGTATAAATGTACAACACCAGTTGTAGATGTACTACATGCTTTCTCAGAGGAGGAGAGATTGAAAAGCCCTTGATTTGAAATATCAAGAAAAGAAAAGAAAATATCAAGAAAAAAAGAAAAGCTTGTTTTTCCTGTCACAATAAAAAGATAAATGGCATACAAAAGCCTTTATGTTATAACCAATAAAATGGATGGCAAAAGTAAGAGAAATATAGGCTCATGAGTTTGGTGCATTCTGTGTAACACCTACTTCCTTATTTTTCTTTAGGAATCTGCATGACATTTCCTGGCAGCCCTTAAATTGAGTGCCTCTTCTCTAATGTTTGTGAATGGAATGCTGCCCGGATCTCAGTGGTACTGTTTCAGAAACAGCTGAAATAAATTGGAAGCATTTGAAAGCTCTCTGGTAGTTGGATTTGCAACAAAGCAGCTGTATGAGAAGATTTCAAGGAGCAGCGTGGTCAAAGACCAGGGGCAGCTAGCTGCATGCAGTCCCTCTCATTTTGGGGCAGCAAGCCTCTGTATCTCATTCATACACAGTTTGATGGACTGATCTCACAGCTAAGGAGATTATGTAACGATAACAAGCAGTAGAATAGTCTTTTGAGTATGTGTACTAACAACAGCAGGTGTGTAACACGAATTTGTGCTTTATTATATTGGCAAAAGGAAGCATTTAATCCGATTTGCAACAAGCTGTGTTGAGTCCCTGTGAATGTGCCAAAAATCCTAACACTGCAGAGAATCCTTTTTTAAGAAAAATGAAAATTTCTGACTTTTCCTATAGTTATTTATTGTGAACTTGGAAACAACAACATCTGCCTGTCACAGTTCAGTATTGCATAAATGTTTATGTGGAAAAAAAACACTGTAGAAATTGGAAAATGGTGTTCAGGGGCTTTTTGCACTGCTATTTATAGGGCAGCTCTCTGAGGTTTATCTTGAACTAAGTTTTGGTGTGTTCAATGCCGCCTACTCTCGAGGTAAAATAACTCAAATTTTCAATGAAATATTTCTCCTATAAATATTTGCAGTTATATGCTGATGTTTGGCAGAATTTCAAAATTCAGAAAAACACATTAAGTGTCATTTATTTCAGTGGGAATGTTTGTTTAGTTATACTGGACATTCGCTATCTCAGTGAAATTTAAAGCGCTAACTCTTTTATACTTTTTTTTAAAAAGAATTTTGAAATAAAACATGAGATTATAAAAGCCTGTGGCCCCTTGGACAGCATCTCAGAACCCTAGGATTCCTTAACCTTCTTTCTTTGAAGAAAGAAGCAGAGGAGAGCCACAGCAGAAGGCATTCAGAATCTGAAACCCAACTCTATCCTCCCCAAGCCTTTTCCGTGTCCCCAAACTGGAAGGAAATATAGATCACCAATGGGGCTGTCCGAAAAATTCCCATTGCTTGCAGAAATAGGTAAATATGTAAATATCAGTAATTGTTTCTGCGCTTTAAAATTGTAGCCAACAGAGCATTAGAATAGTTCTGCCTCTCTGCAATCCTATTCCCTCTTGTGGATAAAAATTGAATCCAGTGGGACTTTTTTCTCAGTAGATATGTATAAGATTGCATTCTTAAAAGCTACAATTTTAAACCTACAAATATGTAATTGAGAGATGCAATCTTATACATATTTATTTGAAAGGTAAGGCCCACTGAAAAGTAGGATGCAAAGTCAGGCATGCAAGGCAGATAGGTATGCAAAGTTCAGGCTACTATGTTAAAATTATTATTGCAAAATTCATGTTTATATAATTTTTGCATGAGGAATCATATGTTTATGTAAACTTTGTAAATAAATAATCCGACATGCATTTCAGTATTCTGTAAAACTTTTGATAAAATACGTGTAGAGAGTTCACCTATGAAAGCTTTTTCATAAATTACTTTTGTCACCTTTGTCCATTAAACAGTACATTTTATGTAGTAATTTACACTTTATATAATTAGATTACCACCAGCCCATATGTTAAAAATGAAGCAAGAACTGGAAAATGTAAATTATGTGTAATATACTGTTTACAAAATGTTTGATTCAACTAAATTGGTCTTGATTATGTTGTCTATGGCAAATAGTGATATATACAGAAAGATTGATTGATTGATTGATTGATTGATTGATTGATTGATTATGAATCGTCAAGTCAGTTTCGAGTCTTGATGGTCACATAATAGCCTTTCCAGGATGATCTGTCCCTAATTTGTCCCTTTAAAACTTTCAATGGTGCAGCCATTGCTGCTGTAATCAAATCCATCCACCTTGCTGATCACCCTTTTCTTCTCTTTCCTTCAATCTTTCCCAACTTTATGGACTTATCAAGGGAGCTAGGTCTTTGCATAATGTTTCCAAAAGATGATAATTTGAGCCTGGTCATTTGTGCTTCAAATGGGAATTCTGGTTGACTTGTTCTGTGATCAGTTTGTTTTCTTGGCTATTGATGTTTTCTCATGAGGCTTCTCTAAAGGCAACATTCAAAAACATCAGTACTCTTTCCATCTTGCTTATTCAAAGTCCAACTTTTGCCTGCATGATTCTGATCTTTGTAGGTCACAGCATCTGTATATTTTTTCTAAGGCCTTCATTGCCGCCCTACCAAGTGCTAGTCCACAGCATATTTCTTTATTGCTTTACAGGTGATAGGTGATCCCATACTGCAGAAGCTATTCTCCATTCCAATATCTTCATTGTCAATTCTAAGGCTGGTTGCTGTACCATTTATTAGTTTGGTCTTATTTATATTTATAATTAATCTTTGTCTCATTTTTTCACTGTGCTCCTTGACTTTCATTATGAAAGCTGGCAGATTGTTTGCATTTTCAGCTATCTGAGTAGTGTAATCATAGAAGAAGTTATTGATGTTTCTTCCTCCAAATTTTAAAACCATGATCATCTTCTTCCAATCCAGCCTCCTTCTTTATATAAGTTGAATAAATAAGGAGAAAATATACACATGGAGCCAACCTGGAGCCAGTCTATTTTGCCATGTGCCTTCCAGACTGTGCCTTCCTGTCCTAGGTATAGATTTCACATGAGGGCAATGAGATGTTCTTGAATTCCTATTTTCCTAAGGACTTTCCACAGCATGACATGGTCAATGCAATTGAAGGCATTGGTATAATTAGTGACGTACTTGCTAATTTCTTTCTGGTATTCTTTGGCTTTATCAGTTATCAATCATAATGTCTCTTCCTTTTCAGCCTTTTCTAAAACCAGCTTGAGCATCTGGCCTTTCCCTTTCCATTTAGGACTCTAATTTGTGTTGGATGATTCTAACCATTATTTAGTACTGTCTTTGCTATATTCTTCCTGACTATGAAAGCAACATTGTTCCTTCTTTGTTTCTCATTTCCTGAGTAGTAAACAGGATAATCTTTTGACTGAAAGTGTCCAATTCCAGTCCATTTCAATTCACCGATCCCTAAGATGTCAATGTGTAGTCGATTAATTTCATCTTTCACTGCACTGAGCTTTCCCATGTTTGTGCTGCTTACATTCCACATGCCCACAGCAATTCTGTCTTTGTGGCTTGGATTTTCTTTTCCTACATGGCAACTAGACATCCTGCAGGTTTTAATCTAGCCACATCATAAACAGCATTAGTACTTCAAAAAAATCCCCAGGTTTTCCTCAGTAGCTTATTCAGTGTATCTGACCTGAGAAGCCCATCATGCGGCACTATATTGCCAATCGCTTTATCTGGTCTATCCGTGTGATTTTCTTAGTAAAATACAAGAATACAGCTTACCATTGCTTTTTCCCACACGCTATGAAATGATATCTTTTCCATTATCATTAAAGTGATCGTTCACCATCACTATATCCTTGCTACCCAATATAGATGCCTACTTACTTTAGCTGGGCAACTGGGATTATCTTCATGCCTTGGGTGGCTCAGCTGGGATCCAGTATATACTTCTGGCACACACTCTCAGTGTTCTTTGCTCATCCCTCTCAGGAATGCCCTCCACAATAAGGAAGCAGAGCAGGATTGAGAAGCAGAGGGCGGGGGGGGGGGGGATCAAAGACATATACTGAAATTATAGACTAAGTTCCTTCAAACAGAATAGTTTTTTTTAATATTGTATATGTAGAAATGCA